GTATGTATGAGAGGGTGTAATTACAACTTTAAAAGAAGAGGGTCTGAAGCCAGACTGCATTTAAATGTTACATATGAAGAGGACACATGTTAGTTAGGTCCGTCACAATGGCATGGCATGTCCTCGGGTTGCAGATAGAGGAACAGCTTCCAGTTATGGAGGTTAGCTGCGAATATATTTAATAAGCAAACACAGATAGCCGATAAGGGGTGGTACTCAAGCTTGGGGTTTGGACATAGGGCTAACAACCCTTCACTGTAAACGTGTTTTATGTTATGAAAACAACAAAGCCTCAGAATTAGATGGATTGTGTGGAATGACCCAGGCAATGTTTAAATGACCTGAGAATTGGAATGTGGAATGTGAGGAGCTTATATAGAACAGGGGCGTGGGATACATTGGCTATGGAGGTAGGGAAGTATAGTTTGCTTCTTAGGGAGATGGGCTGTGTGGATGGTAAATGGATGGAGTTGGCCTAGGGTTGTGGCTGGTGGTTAGCTTTGGTGTTGTCAGTGTTGAACCTGTGGGTTCTGCTACTGGGAAGTTAGTTACTTATATGAACAGGTTGATCCTGAATACATTTTCTTGTTGAAGTCGTCCAAGCTAATCTTTCTAGTGTGCCTTGTTGTGTAATAAATTATACTGTTGTCACTTGTAAGGTTGTTTATATTCAGTTCAGTAACATTAACAAACCTATTTGTTTAATGAATTCTTCTTTGGCTACCAGCTGTATCAGGTGGTTGAATGGAGATAACAGAGGTGGTTTCTCCATTCAACCACCTGATACGGCTGGTAGCTCGATAAGAATTCATTATGCTTAGTCTCCATGAAAGCTTCAGATCATACAAAATCTATTTGTTCATCTGCTTATGACTTCTTGTTTTGTTTGTTTCTGAGAGTGGTTTCTGATATATTAGATCAGGGGTCGGCAAACTACGGCCCGCAGGCCAAATCCGGCCCACCACCTCTTTTTGTACGGTCCGCGAGCTAAGAACGGATTTTACATATTTAAATTCTTTGAAATTTCAAAATACGCGCTATAACGAAACGGCCGAGTTGAGTAGTTGAGAGAAAGAATTCTATAAATGTCTTCCAAGCGATGAATACGGTCAATTAAGATCATATGCTCGGGGATTTATATCTGTATTTGGCAGCACCTACCTGTGTGAAAAGACATTTTCAAAGATGAAATATGTAAAATCTCAATACAGGTCAGCATTAACGAATGAACATTTACAATTAATTTTGATGATAGGGAGTATTGAATTTAAACCTCAGTTTGGTGAAATGTTATCTCATAAACAGGCAATTCCATTCTTCCCATTAGTAGAGCTGTATTTCAAACAATTGTAGTTTACTTATTATTATTACATTACATTTTATTCAATAAATTTATTAAAACTTGGTTTTCTCTTGTTACGTAAGTAGGCTTACCTATATAAATGTCCTCGAGTTTGCCTCTTGGCCCGCAGAGCTTAAAATATTTACTATTTGGCCCTTTAGAAAAAATGTTTGCCGACCCCTGTATTAGATTGTTGGTTTATAATTTAATTTTACAATTATTGAACTTGGGGTTTTGCTGGTATACAGGTATGCAGTACTTTGTGTCCATACTGCAAGATATCTCATTCTTAAGGTCATTGCCATTCAGGAATGTTATATGGACATGAGTCTAATTCTCAATGGTAATGGAGCCATGGATAAAAAATCAGATGATTTGAACAGCATAAAACACAATTACAGATTTGCTTCTAGCATGATTGGTTGCCATTACATTGCAGCAGACATGTGTTGAAGTACCGGAATCAGCAGTTCACTGACTGATGGTCCATGGACACGACCTCACTCCACTAGAATCCCATGTATGGGGTTACATGAAAAACATGGTGCATCAATACAAAGTAGACACAAAAAAGGAACTATTTCATTGAATCTTCAGTGACCCTGATATTCTATGTGTGGTTCATATCATCATGAATTTCAGATAGCCATAGCTCCAAAACTGTTGTATATTCTACCGAATAAGAAAAGAATAATCTTGTGTTTATCTTGAAAACTGATACCTTTTGTTGATTCTGTACTATGTTGTAGAATTATTTCCAACTTGTCACTGTGTTTATGGTGGTGTCATGATATGCAGCAACCAAGTGCTAGCAAGACATTGAATATTAAACTCTCTTTCCATTCCAAGAAGCACAGTTTATCTCTTGACCTAATTGTACAGGAGGTAATTTTATTTTGCAGGCAGTAGTGTTGTTTTACTTTGATTAGCTGACTGATAACACAATTGCCACCATCTAAAAAGCATTCTATGTTCTGCAGTTCATTGCCTGCATTGTGCAGACAATGGCACTGTTAGAGGACAAGAAACTGTATATACAGTGAAATTCATGAGTAGAAATACAGCAAATGAAGAAAGACGAGTGAACTGATTCTGTAGACTCGAACTTTGAGACCTCTAAAGAATGTTCAAGTAAACCAGACAG